TTATTATTCAGTTTTTATTATTTTAATCTTTTTTAAATAATTGGTATCATGAAAACGCACATTGTTAAAAAAGCAATACTATAGACCAAGTTATACTGAAATAAAACAAATTTCGATTTCAATACGTTCTTTTAATTGATAATCTTTATATTTCTTTATTTTATGCTTAAGTATCATTAACAAATGAACTCGGCTCAGAATCATTTTTTTCGTTAGCAATGATTTATCGTTGCTTACATATATACAATAAATTCCCTTTTGTAACCTACTCTCCTAATTTTCAACCTACAACAGTGCCTTCACTAACGTGCGAAGTATATTTCCGTTTTTTTATTATTATTTTTTTTTTTTTATTAAAGTTTTAATACTTATTAAATATCATGATGTGAATTATCTATGCATAATTTAATATATTCACAATGCGCATGTGTACTATAAACTATTTTAACCATTGCAAATAAATTGTATAATCGGTTTATATTCAGAATCGTTGAACGATGCTTATGATAAAGTTGCAAAAGCCCAATATCAGCAACATCAGCCTAGTAAACTGCAGACTGCAGAATAAAAATTCCAGATATTCCTACATTTTCGGACAATTCCGGTTTGTAGATTTCCATTTACCACAAATACATATTTGTAATGAATTATGATTATTTCGACTAATAATAATTCGCGTGCAACATTTTAGATGAGATGGCACGCTGCAGATGACAGCATTGTAAGCATAAGACATACACACTTCAAACAGTTACTAAAAGCTCGTGACGAGCCTCGTACTTATTCAAACATTACTGCACCGCGGAAACAATTGCATCCACACACAAAACCGAACGGAAATGTCAGATGTCTATGAATAACCAAAACGATTTTGCCACGTCTAGAAATTATCGTTTATTCCGTATGCTCGCCGATAGAATTCGAACGCACGGTATTTACACGCCGAATATAACTAAAACTCATAATATTACCGTGAGTTATTTGTTTCGTTCGCACCACGAGACGGATGGGAACAATAATTTCCCGTTTTTTGCCTCCGGTCCGCGCAGCGTTCGGGTCAACAAAAATTACGATGCCAGAAAAGCACAGCGGCGTACGAGATACGTCCACGCGACGGGGGGTATTGTCCGAAGTTAAGTTATCGAAAAAAAAAAAAAAGAAAAAAAAACGAAACTAAGTAACTCCACTCTTTCGCGACCAGTACACTGGTCATATTTCAGCGCGTCCAGATTTGCGTGATTATATTAATTAATTATTTCGAATTTTTTTTTTTTTTTTTTTATATACAAACATAATAATATTTTATGCGCGTGGGCGACAGGGGGGCCCGGGAGGAGAGAGGTGGAGGGAATAAATACGAAAAGAAATTGGTTTTCGCATTTTTTTTTTTTTTTTTATTGTCATTATTGTTAAATACGCATACTTACACGCACACACACACACACACACACACACACGGCGGAATATTAATGAACGTTGGCGCCCCGCATGTCGTTTTTGCGTTTTGCGTGTGGTCCTCGCGAGCGAGCGTGTGTGCGCTCTAGACCAGATGCTGCGAGTGCGCGTGCGGTCCACTGTGCCGAATCGCCGCCGCCGCCGCTACCAATCGTCAGCTCTCCACCGTCAATATTAAATTATCGTCGAAAAACTTCGACTTTTGATTAATAGTCTCAATTACGTCAAAGACAAATAGTTCGCGAACGGGTTTGGTCGCGCGGGTTTTTTTTTTTTCGAATTTTTTTTTTTTTTTTATTATTATTATTTTCGACCACGTTGCATGTCATCATTTCGTGTAATAAAATAGTTGCGGGTCGACGTCGGCGACGGCGGCGGCGGCGGCGGGAATAACAATAATAATAATATAAAAAAAAAAAAAATCTATAAAAATCCATCATATCGAAAACGTTTCGGTCCGTGACATTGTTGCGAGAATGTTCGCGACGGTTTTTTTTCTTTCGCCCGGGGTTTTTTCTCTCTCTCCAACCGCGCGCACCATAATAACATAATACACGGGAAATATTATTATTATTATTGAGTTTTTAATACCGAGAAACCCGGGCGCGCGTCGTCGTCTCGTTCATTCGCCGTTGTTTTTTTTTTTTTTTTTTTTTTATAAATTTTTTATTTGTATTTTCCCCTTCTCCCTTTCCCACCGCCGCGCGCACGCGCAGTCTTTGTTTCGTGTGCGGTAATTATAAATTCCTCGTCTTCTCCACTCGTTCGTGTATCGTCTTTTTATTTTCGCTCACCGGCCCGCCGAGGGAAACGGTTTTCGTTTTGTTTTTTTTTTCTCCTCTTGCCTCTTCCCCTATTTATGTATACATAATCAGTCGCGTACATCTTATTACCGTCGTCGTTGTTAAAGTGTATATTATTTGTTTTTATTTTTTATTATTATTATTTTTTTTTTTTCCCATACGGGTACAATGCGCGAGCGGCACATACATTTCATTATTATTATGATTATTTATTTATTTATTTTATTATATGATATCATACCGGCCGGCGAGTAAGGAGAAAAAAAAACCGCGCGCACATCTATAGGTATTATATACGAGCGCAGACGATGGACACCGGAGATAAATGTATACACACGACGTGGTTGGTATCCGCGCGTTTAATGATCCCCGCGACGTGTGCGCTATACGTTTTATACCCAATATAGCGTATAGAAATTTAGTAATATAATGTATAGATGATTTTTTTTTATTTTTTTTTTTTTTCTACCAACCGACAACGATAGTTATTTGTTAGTTATTACTGTCGTCCCGGCTGTGCCGCGCGGGTTCGCGCGCCCGTTCGCCGTGTCGAACGGAAAATGATGATCACTCGTCTCCCCGCGTCTCCCGTTTGTTGCCCGGTAATCGGGGCCGGGTCGAGGAAGGGGAGGTGGGGGGGGAGTCTCAGGGAGAGGGGGCCGTAGGCCCGGGGCGGCAAGTCGCAGGGCGCCGCAGAACGTGTGTTTTTGTTTTTCGTTGTTGATCGTACGTATACTAGACCATTGTGTACGAGTTTATCTTTGGTTGATGGCCTTAGCTTATGCCGATTCGTAGTTTCGACAAACAAATACATTTATTTTCTTACCGGCGATATAGTTTGAAATTAAATATTTTCATTCGACGACTGCCGTAATAATTATTTGTTAAAAAACGAAATAATTAACAGGTTACTTAAAATGCTGAACGTAGAATAGTATGATGCAACAAACGGCCAAAATTCGTTTCCATATTTTAAAAGGCCGTATGCTGTGCCCGCCCGCGACCACTCTGCGACAAATATGATTAAACGTATTGAAGAAAAATTAATATACGACTCGACAAATAATGTTGTGAACTATTGTAGTAACTAATTTTAAATAATCTCTCTCCCAATAAAAATAAATGATTTCTGTATTCTATGTAAAACGACCAATTTGTATAACTTTTTTCTATGTATTCCTTCATTTAATTTTTTATGTTCAGTCGCGTTTTACATTTCGACTGTGATATGCCTGACGACGAATTTTTAATTCGAAACCGGTCGTACATTTCACTTACCATAATACACCAGGCGACGCATTGGTTTCATTTGTTTATTTATTTATTTTTTTATATTTTTTTTTTTTTTTTATTTACGAGTATTTAAATAATTTTGTTTTTACTTAATTATTTTATAATTTATATGTATATGTTTACATTAACAGTAGTGGTGACGATTTACAATGCGAGTCTGGTGACGAAGTAGCGGGCAGCTTCGATGACCTCGGGAGGGCAGTTGAAGCAAACGGTGTCACCACTGGTGCCGGTGACACGGCGGCTCCGATAGGTGCAGCGCGACGGGTGGGCTGCGTGAGAGAAATGACGTTTCACAATGGACGCGACGACGAAAAACACACGAATCTATTGTTACGAAAGTTGCGCTTGGGTCCGACGACGGGCGCGGCACGCACAAGTGACTCGGACGACGGCCGTGGTTCGCGCGGCAGGTACGGATAGAAACTACGGAAGAAGTGTAGGAGAGTGTACGGGAACAGATTGGCCAATTTTCGGCGGTGTCTATGCGACTTTTGCCCAGGGCGGAACCGATAACAGCGGTAACGCGACCTAAAATTTCTCCTCGCGTTGAAAGGCGTGGAGTCGCCGGTTTTCAAAAACTTTCAAAAACTAACTAAACGTTACAAAATAATGGAAAAATGAGAGACAGAAAGAAAGACTGGAACACAGGATTAACCCTCGACCAGTAGCTTCACAATCTTGACCACCAGGCATTTTGAACTCTTCTGCGGTGGTGCGGACGGTCACCACACGAACGGTCTGATCCCCACCCGGGTGTGTCCGTACAACGCGCCCTAATTTCTAGATGGTAAGTAGTTGATTGGGTGTCATTGGATGACCAAGTCTCCTACCTACAGGCTACGCTCGGTCTTAAACCACTTAGAACGGCCTTGTAGGGACGTGAGTTATTCTCGGGTCTAACGTTTCCAAAACGACTGTGTGCATTGGTGAATTAATTCCCAGCGCCCTAGCCGGTCGGAGGACAAAGAAAGAACGTCGCTTTCCGGTATCGTCTGGATGACATGTCCGATGATGAAATGACTTGGTGTCTTTGCGTCTAGGTCATTTGGGTCAGCTGACAATGACATTAATAATGGACTTGAATTTAGCACACCCTCGATCCGGGAGGTAAGCGTCATAAACTCCTCGAAAGTAAACGTTAGGGGGCCTCTATGGATCGATTTAAGTGATACTTGACACTTTTAATGGCGGCCTCCCAAAGTCCCCCAAAGTGGGGCACAGCACGTGGGTTAAAATGCCAAGTGCAGTTCAAATGAACGGACTTGCACTTGGTCTTTAGTTGTAGGGTGGCGCTAATGTAATTTGTTTCGAAATCTGAGCAAAGATCAGAGAGAATACCTCGGCGAGCAACAAATCAATCGAATGCCACCAGGAAAGCCTCAGTGGTTAAATCGGAAACGATTTCTACATGGATTGCCTTGACAACGCGACGTAATGTTTTAATACCTTGGCATTTCGGTGACGGCTTTCCTTGAGGAGGTAAGGACCACCATAGTCCATGCCTACTTACGTGAATACTTTCGGTGAGGACTGACGGAATTTGGCCCATGAAGGGTGCTGGGTGAACGGCGTTCTGACGAGTGCATTTCACGTAAGTGAAGATGTTACGCCTAATTGCATCACGTCCGAAAAGAATTTTTGTCAGAACATGGAAAGTACTAATTTTGGACCTCCATGTGAAAAATTGACGTGTAATGTCGGATGATAAGGGATGTTAATGGTGACACTTTCGGTAACAATAACGGATGCTTAACATCCCAGGATAGCATAGTGTTTATTAGTCGCCCTCTCGCACGAATGAGACCGATGTCGTCCCAAAACGTAGCTAACTTAGCAATTGACGGTAGAGTAACACTAATGTGTCGCGACAGTTGTTTGACTAGACGTGGGAAGCCGCTTAGTTGCGTAAGACGTATTCAAAATGATGCAGCGCGGTTGAGCTCAGTACTCGTCAACGAACCTGTAGTTAGGGTTTTTTTAATATTTGATGGTTTATGTAACGGAGAGCGTAGGCAGAGGACCGCCGCAGACGGGTGAATGACGAAAATCTCGACAAGATTAGATCGAGGGACGTAATTTCGATAGCCATAAGGGCAAACTTCTTGAAGGTCTTCAAGTCAGGTAACTGATCGACACTAATTGGGATAATAGACGACATGTGCCATTGGTCTTCGGGTAAACGTACAAATGCAGGACCATCCCGATGTAAGCGGTCGGCAATCATAGCCGCAGGTAATAAGCTTCGAGATGCCGGATCAGCAGGATTATCCTCGGTAGTTATATGTCCCCATTGACATTGTGGCAGAAACGCGTGAATCTTCGTCACCCGATAAGTGATGAATATCTTGAATGGTTTTTTGATCTGCAACAAGCCAAGATAAAACGATGGAAGAGTCAGTCCATGCCCAAATCCGAGATGTAAGAACTTTATTCAATATAACGTGATGAAGACGAGTGAGCACGTGAGCAAGCAGCATGGCGGCAGTCGGGAAATAGACTAAGTGACCCCCGGTGAACTTGAGTTGAGCGGGGCCACTTTGGTCTTGTAGAACTATGGACGACGCGTAAAAATATTGTTGCAGAATACCCGACTTGGGAGGCATCCGAGAAACCTAGGAGTTGGACGTTCTGATCATTGAAAATATCAATGGGGTAAATCAACGTCCGACAGATTCCCTTTTCGTTTGACGATCAGGTTAAATGGTATAAAATATTTTCCGACGGTGGTGTATACATACATTTTTTATTTATTTATTTATTTATTTATCTATTTATCAACGAGTATAAATTATTTTAGTAATTGAGTAACTCCGCTCAGAATTGTTTTTTCGTTAGCAATGGTTTATCATTGTTTAAATTTGTACATTAAATTCCATTCTGTATCCTACCTTCCCAATTTCCCGCCTACAATAGTGGCTGCACTCGTACTCATTATCCTAGAACGATTTTTTTACACTAGTAGGCCAGTTTTTCTTTAGTTAATTACAATGTTTTAATGTATGATGGCCAGGAAAATAATATCATAAATTAATATTAACAGCATATGAGATGAAAATAAAACTAAAAAAATTACAAAAAAACAAAGTTAAAAGGTTAGGTTTTCCTCCTGTAAATAGTAGTACTTTCAAGGTATGTTATAACTTATAATTCATAAGATTCCAAGTTACCGAATGTACCACAAAACTAATCAGCACAAAACCTACTGCCAGACGTCCTTAAATCTCCTGGCATACTCGGCAAAAACAGTAAGACAATAAGCCACAGTATGATATTAAATCTGATATGTCTAAAGTTTAAACATTGGTCGTAGTTCGTTACGTTGTTTTCTATTATATTAGATTTATTTTTCCCCTCCGTAAACTTTTCGAAAAGAAATCTCTCTCCGACGTGAGAGTATAGTACACTTCGAAAGAATATTTGGTGGTCTGGTTGATAAATTAAACAGGTCATTTTTTGATCATCCCGAGGTTTTTCAAAATAGTAAGGAAAACAATTTGTTTTTTTTTTTTTTTCAAATTACGGGCACAACGATATTACTATTTTAAATTTGTCGGCTTATGTTTTCTGCATTAAATATTGCTTCAATAGTAAAACGTCAAGAAAACTTTTTGGTTTCATTTTTAATCTAAATGGTGAAGAAGAGAAAGAAAATGGTTTTTTTTTTTGATTTATTTTGCATTTTTTTTAATAATTGAACAAAACCAAAGTATAAGTAGATAGTACAGGAAAATTTACGAAAAAAATTATTTTTTATATTTAATCTGTTTTATGTAAATCACAAAAAACTATTTGTAGAGACTTTAAATTTCGGCATTGTGAATCTTTTACACAATTTTCATTTGATAGGTTTGATGTGTAGATAAAATTATCATAGCCTAAATAGAGAAATGCTTGAAAATATGACAGGATGTATATTATGACATAGGAGTAATATTTTAGCGGAAAAAAACATATAAATTGAATGTTTGCAGCATAGTATTTTTTTAAACTACCTATTACCTACAACAGTGGCCGCACTCGCTTCCAGTCCTCGGCCCTTTTTTTTTTTTGTTACTCACCCGGCGACAAAATCTCAAACAATGTCTCGGAGCTTGATAATATTATATGATCACTTTGATCGACCGAATATCAAAACAACGCGGACCGCGTATACACGGAACCCCGTCGTCGGAATCGAGTCGGATCACGGCGATGAAAAACGTTCTGACGCTCGTTCCACAAGTTTAGGTACAACGCTCGCAGTCCCGGTCAAGTACTCTGCGACGAGGAGGGGGGGAGGGAGATTTGTTTTCGATTTTTTTTTTTTTTTTTTTTTAATATTAATACACGATCGTTATTTGCAGAGCGCGTCGGGTTTTTAATTAATTTCCGTCGTTTATATTATTATGACGAGAGCGCAGCGCCGCCCGCCGCCTGCAAAGGCGGCGAACGGTTTTAATTCGACCCCAATAATAATACATTTAAATTTAAAAGGCCGTGAAACGTTCGGGAGGCGGTGTTGGTGGCGTGGCGAATGTAAATTATTTCGCTCTCGTCGTACCCTCTGCGAAAATCGCCCGTTTGAGTCGCGACAATAATTATTATCACTATTATTATTATTATTATTATATTGTTCGCGTGACAGACGGAGCGCGTCGACGACTTCCGCAATTTAAAATCGCCGTGTAGTTCACGCGCGCGCATTTATATTTTATAAGGATAAAAAAAAAAAAAAAAAAAACGGGCCTCTTATTTATTATTATTATTATTATTTTTTTTTTTTCGAACGCGAGCCACTCGAGTGACGTGTACCGTGGTCTTAGACGACGATCCCCCGCTTATCTAACGTTAATAAAACGGTTTTTCGTTTTTTTTTTTTTTTCCTTTCGTCAATATTATGTAAAATAAATGTAGGGTTTCTTGTTTAGATTCGGACCGCAGCTAGCAATACATTGGTTGGTTTTACCATTGATTATCTATAATTATCTGTAACCAATGGAATGGTTTGACTATAGGATTTTATCTGGGTGGTACTTTAAGAAGATCATTTTTTTGATTTACCAAATGTCAATCATAATAATTGGGAATAACAGAGAAAAACTTAAGAAAAACGGGAGAATCGTTTTTTGTTAGCAATGATTTATCGTTGCGTACAGATAAAAATAGATTGTTATCCACATCCTGCCTACCCAACTTCTCACTTACAACAGTGGCCCTATATCCCATTGTGCGAAATGCCTACTTTCATCGTATGTAAAAATAAAATGGTTTGACCTTCGATGGTGGGGGTATGCGAAAATCTGGGTTTTACCAAAATGTCTGAGGAAAAAATGTCTAGAGGTAAAAATGGCTAGAGTTAAAGAACATTAAATACCTATATAATTATGATTTATAAATATAAATAATAAATTAAATACAATTTTAATACGCAATAAAAATATGAACAGTTACCTATAATAATTGTTTCAATTGTAGTCTTAAAAGTTATAAAAATGTTAACGATAAAATTAACTAAAACCTATGTTATTCTACTATATTATACAATATTAATTAAATTTAAGGATATGCATTTCAAAAAGTATTTATACATATTTTGCACTAGTTAACCCCCAACTCTCACCTCATTTTTTCATTTAATAGCGTGGTGGAAATGTGAAAAAAATTTGGAAAACCTAAGATTCCATCCTTCAATATCTTGCTATATCTACAGTGTACAACCCATTTTTAACTAAAACTACGAAAATCAATGAAAATTGACAAAATATGCAACATATTCAATTTTTAAATTCTCCATTGTATAGAAAGTACTTCTGTAGCTTGGTCTGCTATAAATTCGGTGTATACAAAGTTATATGTACTCCTATAACTTCGTAGCCCCATTCATGACCCTCATGTAGGAAAAAAAGTTTTTTCAGGGTTTAATTTGAAAATAAAAATATTGTTTACCGTTATAAGAAACTCAAACGTTATGAGCAATTTAATGTTAAACATTAAGAAGAAATTAAAATTTAATTATATATTAATATATATGTTAATAACATTAATTTAATGTTATTCAATATATGTGTTCAAACGATTTAAACGTTATTCGACTTAAGTAGTTCAACGTTGAATGGTTTTAGATTTTGAATGAAGCAAAGAAGCTTATAGTTTTACAAAAATGTTTATTTTTTTTTTTTTTTTTTAACTGTGCGCCACTTTTCTACCTGAAGATTTGTTCCGATTTGTACATGTAGCGCTTTCTTGAAAGGAAATCGGTGTGGAAAGTTACTTTAAGGATCATTTTCTCAAGAGAAAGATTTTATTAAAAAAGAAGTTTATTATTGTTTTCGATTTATGTACACGTAGTTATAAAGTTAAACTAAAATCAATGGGATTTTCGACATTGTTTTTCCTCTTCCGATAAAACCGATATCGGGATTAAATATATCGCAACGTGTCCCACGCTCCACGCCGAGCATAATAAAATACAATAAAAATGACAATTTTACAATGGCGATAATTGTGACAATATTACGAGATGTTTTATTTTCAAATTGTAAATATTACGGCCTTTTAAAACACGTATAACCGAACTCCGCTCAGGATCGTTTTTCGTTAGTAAATATGTATCGTTGCATATGGTTATACATTACATTTTTCTTTATATCCTACTTTCCCAACTTCTCTTCTATTATAACAGGGGCCCACCCACCGTACGAAGTATGTCCGCGTCTTTTTTTTAGTAATAATATTAAAAACTAAACTTATTTATGTGCGCCTATGGCAATAGTGGATTTACAGGGGAGGGGATGGGGGTCCAGAGAATCTGGACACTGTGAATATTTTATTATTGACACAAACATACAACTGAAGGTATCGATAGCGCAACCGTCACCGAATCATCACCGTTGACATTTTCTCATTTTCTCCAATGCCAATAAATATCAACAAACCCGTGTACTTTGTGACCGTTATAATTTATTTCATATTTGGTTCCTCAATGGACATTCCGTTGATAAAAATGTTACGAAAAATAACTTTGTCTCTAGCTTTATACGACAATGCTAAAAATGATTCATTAGTAAATCCCGTTCGTCCATGTACCGCCTTTTAACGAATTTCTTTACGGAGACCAGACCGTTTGCAAAAGTTTTCCGAGCAAACGTACATAATATGCTTTACGGAAGTAAAATTTAGGAGTTAATGGAAATCTTCTGAGGTATATGACGTTGTTTTAAACATACTTTTTAATTTTTGCAATTCTCGTAAAACATCTGAACCAGAAGTCTATTAAAAAAAAAAAAAAAAAAAGAAAAGAAGAAATTCTTAAGAAATCTTTTTCAGAGTTCTAGGAACAAAACGGTTTACTACATCTAATGGTTAGCAATTATTATTTATCGGTTTACAGTTATAAACATAAAATATAATTTATTATACACACAAAATGTAAATAGCCAACAATATGCATGGCGCATGTCGACAGTTATTTAGTTAGTATTATTAAAATATTATAAAACTCGTACAGATAACAAAAAATACACAACGCAATTTATCACAGCCAACGTTAGTAATTATTGTTAAGTATAATAGTTAATTCAAGCACTGTTAAATAAATAATAATTACACAAAACACACTAATTAA